GGCTCGCGCTCTTCGACCCAACAGCAGGGCAGCAAGGCCTGGACGACCTGTCCTGGATGTTCTCGCTGGGCGCGGTGGGCGTGAATGCCGCGGGTCCTGGTCCCACCGCCCCACCTGCTGCGGCGCCAGTCGTTGGGATCGGAGGAGGAGGGGGAGGAGGGATGGGCTTCCCCGTCAATGGCGCGGGGCCGGTGAGCGCTCCCGGCCCGCCTGGTCCGCCAACGACAGAGTTCTGGAAACAGGTCATGTAGGGCATGCCTGTTTACATGGGGGGATGATGTGAATTGGACACTTGATATACACTTTTACACGCATAGCAAGATGCAATGCAAGAGACACAAAACTGTTGTATAAACTCTGTATTAAAGGATGCATCTACTCTCTGCAACTGCCCCTCTGAGTGGTGCGAAGTCTCGGCCTGCGCTGCAGTCTCAGCCTCGGCCTCAGCCTACGGCTTCGGCGGCTAGAACTCCTTCCACCCCTGCTCGACGCCGCCCCCGCCGAGCCCCATAGTGACCAGCCCGAGCCCAAACACAGAGACATGCGTGGCAACCGCCATGCCCAAACCGCGATAAAGCTGCCCGACACCAGCGAGCAGACCCCCCTCATCCTGCTCCTGCATGATGCGCTTCCTTGGCCGCGCCGTCTCCTCCGTCACAACACGGTAGATACACTCCACGATGCCGACATAGGGCGTATCCCGGGTCGCGACGACGCTCTTGATCGTGCGGCCGTTGCCGCGGGGCTGGATCTGGAGCCTCTTCCTCACCGTCTCGAGGGGGAGGAGGACGAGGAGCGAGCCGAGATTGAGACCCAGGTCGAGCGCGGAGTACGCGATGGGCGAGAGGTCAGGCGAGACTCGCATGTATCGCTCGATGATCAGGGGGATCGCGGCCGTCAGCGCCGGGCGCAGCGTGACCTCGAGCAGGGCGGGGAGGAGGACGTTCGCGGCCGTCCACAGACCCAGCAGGCCCCCTTCGTCCCGGATCGCGTCGCGTACCAGCGCAATGGAGCTTTTGGTGCTCGGGTGCGAGCCCGGCTGCACTATGAGCCTGGTGCGGATCAGCTCGATCGGACTCAGGATCAGGCCCGTGATCGCCGACGAGGCGACGGACAGCGCAAACGGGAGACCCGGGTTGGGCAGCGCCGTGAGCGGGAAGTCGAGCGAGAGCGGGGGCGCGCCCGGGATCCAGCACAGGAGCGCGTGGATGTACGGCTGCAGCACTGTTGTGAGGCACCCGTGGGCTGTGGTTAGCAGCGTGCCCTTCCACAGGCCGGGCAGGCCCTCGGACGGCGTCGCCCGGATCCGCCGGATCATGCCCCACACGCCGTTACTCCGCGACACGTCGGGGTCGTCCTTCAGCTGCCAGGAGGGGTGGGCGTCACGGAGATAGCCGTCTTTGGAGTGCGAGGTTGGGGGAGGAGGGGGGATGAAAGTAGACGAAGGCGCCTCGAGCCGGTCGCTGAAGTACAGGTCCGCATCGTCCGGATGCGACACCGACTCGTCCTCGACGGGCGGAGGGACATCGGGCGGGTCCTCGAGCGAACGATACTTCCGACGAGGGCGGTATTCGACCTGGAGTCAGCTGGATACGTTCGGAGCAACTGGAGCTATCGCCGCTTGGCAGCTGCCGTGCCTCGGCCGCCGCACACAAAGCGTCTCGGCCGGCGTCGGCGTGGCGAATGCTCTACTCGCGCTGAAGCCGCACGTCACGTCGAGACGTCCGCCGTGACTATCGCGGCGTCACAAATGCAGACAGTGGACGCGTCACGTCCCCGTCGCGCGTACAGCGTGCCGGAGATCGGATCGGGAAAGCCCGGCGATCGGTCACCGAACCGGCCCCACTGCTAAGCGAGAGCTGGGACTCACCTGGAGTAGCGTCTTTCCGACCTCGAACGGCATGCCGAGGGCAGCGACGAAGAACTGCGCACCGATGAGCTGCACGCCGCCCGGCAGACCCAAGTCCTCGTCGTCCGCGTCGTCGGGGCCAAAGGGCGACGGGGCGGGGAGGTGCGGCGGCGGCTGCGGCGCCGACGTGTTGGGCGGCTGCACCGTTGGCGGGAGGAAGACCCATTCTTCCGGCGGCGGGGCTGCTGTCAGCGTTGCCTACATGATAGTGACGGGCGCGTGAGATGGCAGATATGGTGGTCTTGTGGGGTGTGGCGCTAGGGTTGTGGGGACGTCGTTCGACACGCACTGTACAGGCCTCGGACGGAGGCGGGGCGCCCCGCGGAACTCATGGCGATGGCGACGGGCGGGGGACTATCGGCGAGCTAAAGCGGAGGGGCGAAGACAAGAGCTAGTCGAGAGAAAGAGATAAGGGTGTGGAGTTGTGTTATGCGCGATAAAGAAAAGACAAAGTTGTGGAAATGTGGACCGAGGGAGAGATGACGCTGCCGACCCGGGGCCAGCGGCCAACGGCCTGAGTGAGGAGGCGTGTTGTTTTTGCCGCCGCGCGTCGGGGGTGAGGGGCAGAGGAGTGTGTGTCCAATGAGAGCCCGGATTTGCTTCCACCGGTGGACCGTCCGACCATCCACCACTGAGTGCACACCGTACGGTACTGTAGGCGCAGGCTCAGGCTCAGGCTCTCTCGTTCCTGCGTAGTCTCTGGCTTGCAGCTAGTCGATGCCGGCCGGTCCACAAGTCGTTTCTGATATCTGACCTCATCACTCCCCCGACATCGCACCCCCGTCGCCTACACACACCCACACCCACACACAACCACCCCCGCCACCGGCTCCGCATCACACACACACCGAGGGCCGCACGCCGCACGAAAACTCAGCCACGGGTTTCATCAAGCCGACAGCTTTTTCGACACATCCACCCACCACCTCCACCCGCTCCGCTTCTGAGAGGAAGAACCAACGACGCTTCCGAGCCGATAGCGATGCCGCGCCGCGACCTCGTGCGCATCGTCCTCGTCGGCGACGGTGGGTAACCCTCCCTCAAGGCGTACACTGACAGTGCAGACGGTGTCGGCAAGAGTTCCATCATCACAAGTCTCATCAAAGAGTCGTTTGTCACCAATGTGCGTACCATCGCTTTAGGTTTGCGAGTCTCCAATGCCGGATCGCCCAACATCGCGCCGCCGATCGTTGTTGGACGCTTCGGACCAGACGGATCTGGCTCCTGTCCGCTGAGACTACAACTGCACACGGCATGCATGGCGACGGACGTGCTGCCGCGCGGCTCGCACTCCTCCCTAGCTCCCTGGCCAGGTTAGGCTGCCGCCCGGACCTCCTTCGTCCACCCTTGCGTGGTCTCGCCTTCCTCCGCACAACGCTGGCCAGCACTGACGATCCCAGGTCCAGCCCATCGTCCCCGAGGTCACGATTCCGCCGGAAGTCACCCCGGAGAATGTCACAACAAGCATTGTCGACACGAGCTGTGAGTGGAGGTCCGTCAACTGTCGCTAATAACAGCCGAACCGCGGTCACGGCAGCACCTGCTGAGCCAGCTTGGGCGCGCGCATGTCATTTGCCTCGTGTACTCGATCTCGGACCCGTCAAGCTTCGACCGCGTCGCCGAGTACTGGCTCCCATTGTTCAGAAAAGAGGGCATCAATGTGGGTCCACTCTGATTTGCCCATCGGAAAGATGCGCGCAGCATGGCTCGAGGCTTTTCGTGGCTAGCGCCATCGGGCCGCGGCGCGCGTACCGCGGGCAGCAGCAAGGGTAGTAACATTGACGGCAACACAGGTCCCCGTCATCCTCGTCGGGAACAAGATTGACCTCCGCGGTGGCGAGGTCACGAATCAGGCGCTCGAGGAGGAGGTCGCGCCAATCATGCGAGAGTTCAAGGTAAGCAAACAAAACCGACCAGGCGGCGTTCGTTTGTTGACACCACCCCACAGGAGGTCGAGACTGTTGTCGAATGCAGTGCGCGCCTACCACTCAACGTATCCGAGGTGTTCTACTTTGCGCAAAAGGCGGTGCTCCACCCGACGGCGCCGCTGTATGACTCGCGGGAGCACATTCTGAAGCCCAAGTGCCTGGAGGCGCTGAAGCGCATCTTCAAGATTTCCGACGTCGACAAGGACGGCCTGCTGAACGCTGCCGAGCTGAACCAGTTCCAGCAAAAGTGCTTCTCGACGCCACTACAGACGCAGGAGCTGGAGGGAATCCTGAATTTGGTGCGGTCATATGACCCGGCCTCGGTCCAGCCGTTACCGAACACACCGATGGCGCAGATGAATGAGAGCGGAGTGCTCGGATGGTCGCAGACGGCACAGGACGGGTGGCCACAGATCTCGACGCCGCAGGGCCAGCTGTCTCCGTCGGCTGAGGGTCTCACGGAACTTGGATTCCTGTATCTGCACACCATTTTCATCCAGCAGGGACGGATGGAGACGACGTGGACGGTCCTGCGGCAATTCGGGTACGGCGAGTCGCTCGACCTGAGGGAGGACTTCCTGTCGCCGCGGTTCGACGTGCCGTACGACTGCAGCGTGGAGCTGAGCCCGCTCGGCAATCAGTTCCTGACGGATATCTTTGAGGCGTACGACAAGGACAATGACGGCGCTCTGTCCCAGTCCGAGCTCGACGACCTCTTCTCGACCTCGCCTGGGAACCCGTGGCTGTCGCAGGGCTTCCCGCATACGACGATCACAGACGACCTCGGCCGCGTCACGCTGCAGGGGTGGCTCGCGCAGTGGTCCATGATGACGCTGCTGGACCCGAAGCTGACGCTCAACTACATGGCTTACCTTGGATTCTCGTCCTCGCCGGCGTCGGACATGCCGCTCGTCGCGAGCGTGAAGGTGACGCGGCCGCGCAAGGCGGACCGGCGCGCGAAGAAGGTCACGCGCAACGTGTTCCTGTGCTACGTCCTGGGCGCGACGGGGTCGGGCAAGACCTCTTTGCTGCGGTCATTCGTGCACAAGCCGATCAGCGGGGACGACCGCTCCTACGAGCCGACGACCAAGGTGCTTTCGGTGGTGAACTCGGTCGAGATCGACGGGCAGGAGAAGTACCTGGTGCTGCAAGAGTTTGGCTCAAAATACGAATCCGAGATGCTCATCAACAAGAAGAAGCTCGAGCTCGCCGACATTCTGCTCTACATCCACGACTCGAGCGACACGAATTCCTTCTCGTACATCTCAAACTTGCGGCAGCAGTACAACCTCGACCACATCCCGAGTCTCTTCATCGCGACCAAGAGCGACCTCGACCTCGCCCAGCAAAGGCACGAGGTCCAGCCAGACGTGTACTGCCGCCGCCTTGGATTGCCCGCCCCTCTGGCCGTGAGCGCCGTCTCGGGCCCGCTGCCCAACCTCTGGGTCGCGATCACGCGAGTGGGCCTCAACCCGACATCGTACATCCCGCGCGGACCACGGAGCGACTCGCCCGCAAAGCGCGTCGCCGTGTACACCCTCACCGCATCCAGTATCATGGCCATGGCAGCCGTCTGGATGCGATACCAGGGGTACACGTTTCGCGGCGTCTGGGGCTGGGTCGTGAGGAACACTGGCATGCTGCTGGGATGGACTGCGAGAGAGAAGTGAGGATGCCGCTAGGCATCCGAACGGCGTCCGAATGGTATCTGCGCAGCATTGGAGAATGCTGTCCCTTCTGCTGGCCGCCCACACCCAAAAGCATCCATGGGATTCAGGAGAGATCCACCAACCAACACCATTAATGAAAACGACCCCCAAGCACAAACCAACCCCATCACTACTACTTTCTTCAGATTCCATGCACTGCATACCATTTCACATCCACATCAACTCTATACTCGTCTCTACGCCGGGTCATTACTGATTACTACTGATGTGCTACAATTGGGCAGGGGTGATGGCGAACTAGAGCCTCGCGCCTCGATCGGCGGGGGCGGGGCTGCTCACAGGCCATCCATCCCCGACATATCCCTCAACCGCCCATCGACCAGCGGACTGACAATAGCAAGGTCATTGTCCAACTGGTCAATCTCCAGTTTACACTTGTCGTCGCAGGGCATGCCCACGTTTCCTTCCCCTCTCATTCCTGTGAGGCCACCTGCGGCAGCAGCGCCGGCAGCCCCGGGACCACCAGCAGTGAGACCAGGCGTCGGCGCAGGCGTAGGCGTGCGCGCGGGCGTAGGGGCGGTCGAGACACCCGCCTGAATCCTGCGCATGAGGTCGCCCTTGAACCGGTCCACGTCCGACATGTGCTCGTGCTTCGCGAGGTAGATTGCCTCCTTGATAAAGTCCCAGTCGTGCTGCACGACGTGGTGCCGGAGGAAGTCCCAGCTGCTCTCTTGGACTTGCACCTGTTCTCCCTCGACGACTACTTGCTCCCCATTGTTACCCTGGGTTCCCCGGGTTCCCTGGGATTGAGTAGCGGCTGGCGCCGCGGGCGGGTCAAAGACATTCTCCGTCCCGCCGGGCATATGACCCGGCTGCTCGGGCGTGAAGGATGGGTCGAGCAAAGCGTCTTTCGTGGGCAGCTCGACCTCCTGCACCTGCACCAGACTCGAGGCGGGCTCCGGCTCCCCGAGTTGCACATTGTAGTCGCCCCCCGGCATGTGGCCCCTCTGCTCGACCGCGACGTCGACGACGCCCCTATCCCTAACGGCGCGGGTGTTCATCTCTGTGGCCGGTTTGCGCTCCCTGCCTGCCAGACTGGCACGGGGGGATGCGACGGGCGAGCGCGCGGCCCGCTCCCGGTGCTTCTTAAGCACGAGCGGGGTCTTGGTGCCGAAGTACGCGCCGTTGGCGGGACTCACGCCGTCGGGCCCCACGGCGTCTGTCAGGTCGCAGGCTGCCGCGTGGCCCTTTGCTGGGGTTGAGGGGGCACCCGGGATGGAGACGGCGGGCGTGCCCTGCGCGCCCTGTGTGTTCTGGCCGTGGGCGGCGGCGGCCGCCGCGGGCGCATCCGCGGCAGCCTGCTCGGCAACCTCGGCGTCCTCGACGAGCTGCTTCTTGCGCATAATGTACGCGGATCCCAGCAGGAAGGACCGGATGATGTTGCTGATGCTCGTGCCCGTTTCGTGGTCGACGAGGAACTTGCGTCCCGTCAGCGCCTCGAAGCCGTCGAACCCGTCTGCCATGTACTGCCGCGTGATCTGGGGTCAGCTGGAACATCGACTGTCAGTCTAGCTGAGCGGTCTAGTACTTACCACTCGGTAGATTCGCCCGCCCTTCTCGTTCTTGACCTCGTCGCCGAGACGCAGCCGGGCGCGCCGGACTTCGAGCCGGGTTCCGTCCGCCGTGTCTACGAATTCGACGGGGTCCTCCATGTCCTCCCCGCTTGAGGGGAGGGTGAGGTGGATGCTCTTGACACGGTGCATCGGGGGTGCTTGCGAGTCCCACTCGACCGCCAGGCCAGAGACGATGGGGAAGCGTCCCTCCTGCGCCGGCCAGCGGGAGAGACCGCTCTCGATTGTCTGCCAAATGCCTTCGCCGTCGATCTGATGTCAGCTGAACGCCCGAATACAGAGAAGCTTTCGTGCATAGCAGAAGCCACTCACCTCCAGACACACCACCGCATCGTCGAAGGGGAAGATCTCGAGAATGTCTCCAAGCCCAATCTTGCCGGGGCCGTACTGACTGTCTCCTCGCAGCGTGCCTCCGCAGATAATGCATGCGTCGGCGCCTGTCGTGTCAGCTCCGCAAAACAGCCCCTCAGCTTCTCCCTCAACATACCCGACGAAATGGTCAGCTTCGAGTCATGATCCGGATTCTTCGTAACGACAATCTTCTTATCGACCAGACTCTCGTCGTACGCGTGCAGCAGCACATCGGCCGTCCAGTTGCCCAGCGAGGACTCGCGCGTTCGCACGACCTCACTGCGCGCGTCGAACGGCGTGATGCTGAAGCACACGGGCTGGGAGAGCGTCTTGGTCACGCTGCTTAGGAGTTTGTTCATGAGCTTATCGACTGCGGGGTTGGTTGGGGAAGAGGGGACGACGTAGTGATGCTTCCCCGTGAGGGTGTCGATGACACGCCGCCGGATCGCCGTGTCGTCTGGCGGGGAGAGGTTCAGCGTCGCACTTGACAGGTCACGGAAGTCGGTGCCGGACTTGATGATCCTGATTGTCAGCTAGTCAACGCCGACCAGTAGCTCACATGCACCCGTCGTCGCCTTCCGTGCCCGGCTTGTCGCGCAGGCCAACAAAGCCGTCCCATGAAGCGGCTCCCTTGCCAATCTGTCGTTAGCTCTCTCCGTGCATCAGTAAGCTCACGTAGTAGATATGGTCATGGCCACCAATGATGAGGTCGACGCCGTGCGTGTTCCGGATCTCGTCAGGACGGTTCACAGCACCGAGCTCCTTGGCGAGTTTGATATCCTGAAGTCAGCTAGAATACGCGGCTTTCAGCTCACGTTGGGCACGCGGCTGTGCGTGAGCGCAATGATGATGTCGACGCGGTACGGTCCGTTCGGGTCGCGCAGGAGCTCGCTGAGTTCGAGTCCAACCTCCTTCATGGGACGGTAGCGGAAGTGGCTCGGCCAAGAGGGAATCGTCGCGATCCAGTCTCTGGGGTTGTCAGCGAGCGGCGAGCGAAGCGAGCCTAGCAGAGCCAGCCTCGATAACTTTTAGAGCCGGGACCAACTCACTCCTCGACGAGTCCCACCAGGCCGACCTTGACTCCGCACCGCTCCTCAACGACGAAGCGGTGGAGGGGCGCCGGAGTCCGTCCGGTGCGGTCATCAATGACATTGGACAGCAGCCAGGGAAACTTGGTAGCGCCGACCAGCTTGGTCATGTGCGGGTATCCAAAGTCAAAGTCGTGGTTACCAACGCATGCTGCGTCGATCTTGATCGCGTTCAAGACGGGGACCTGGGTGCGGGTTAGTCACTGTTCGATCGGGGATGCCACCTCCACATAACACGTCGGACAGTGCGCCCTCCACACTCCCGGTTACGTGTCTGGCACACAATGGAATGTCATCAGGCCAGTTTCAGTAGTGTGGAAAGACGTCAAGTGCAATGAAGGCGACAGGGTGGAGCGGCCCACGGCTCTCGGCTCGCCCCGCTCGCCACCTGGAGGTACTCACCATATGACTGCCTCTCGTGACGCTACTCTCGACTGAAGGGGAGAACACATCGCCTGCAAAGAGAAACAGGCCGTCCCGTCCATCATCGTCCGAGCCCCCCTCCGCGAGCCCCGGTTTGCGCAGCGGCCACTGCGCCCTCAGGTCGTACACGAGCTGGGCAAACTGGCCGACCTTGATCTCCGCATCGGGGGGAAAGGCGTTGGGCGGGTCGGGACAGCCGGGCTGAGGAACGTAGCGCTGCTGGACGCGGTAGACGTCGTTGAAGGCTAGGATTGGCACTGAGGTTGCCATTGTGGATAAGCGGGAGAGGAGGAGAGAAGGAGAGAATGAGGAGAGGACGCCGGACGCCAGTCGAGGCATTCCAGAAGGCGCCTGCAGGGTATGCGGTGGTGTTGACAGGGTCTGCAGTGACGTCTGCTCTGGATTGCCGATCATCACGTGTGGACCGTACTCGATAGCCGGGTTGAGTGACCGCCGCCCATTCACATCGACTCAATTGTTCAGCATAAAGCCAACTCGGTATCTTTCGAGAAGCTCAGAGCCAAAGCATGTCTGCTCGCAACGGGCTGGTGCAATACTCCAGACATATATATCCATGTAGTATAGACAAGAAGGTGACCAAAAGCATAGCCAAAACCGAAGCGAACGAAACCGAAACATGTATATATATCTTATCTTGACAACCGTAGAAGTGTGATTATTATAGCTGTGTGTAGTGTGTCTAATAACTTCTCTCGACGCATCACTCCTCGCGCAGGTAGTACAGCGAGCTATCCGCTTCCTCAAGCACGCTTGGCGTGAAGAAACTCCCCGCGTCGTTCTCCTTCCCCCTCCCGCGGCGCGACATGAGGCTGCCCGTACCCAGGGTCCGCCTCGATCTGATACTCGCCGCGTCACCCGTCACGCGCGACATGACGCTCGCCGCATCGCTGTCCCGCTGCTCCCGGTCGCGTTGCCACCAGGGCGCCGCTGGGATCTCGGGCGGCGCCGAGGGACTCTACCCCAGGGCCTCGGTCCAGGCAAAGTTGGGCGAGTAGCGGACGTTCGGGCCGCCGCCGAGCGAGTTGGTCAGCGCCTCTAGCTCGTCGTCGAGCACCTTGCGGGCAATCTGGTCGCCGTAGCTGACAAGGGAGACGTAGTGTTTCTGAGAGTTAGCGCAATCCGGGCGGAGGTAACTCACCTTCAGCCGCGAGTCAACCTTGATGAGTAGGTCAATGATCGTCGACGTCATCTTTTGTCCCTCGCCGACGAGGCAGTAGCCAGGCGGCATCTCGCCTAAGATGGCCGAGTCGGTGGCAAGGTCCGTCGCCGGTGCCGAGCCGTCGGCAGGCCCCATCATGAGCAACGTGCCGTTGTGAAGCAGCGTCGGCGCAAGCTCGGCCCTGCTCGTTCCAGCTCTAGTGGGCGGCAGGACCATGGCGAGGAGCTTCTTGTACACGTCGCGCATGATTGAGCACGTCGAGGCGTGCACCTGGAAGTAGTCGGGCGTGAACGGCATGACGGCTAACACCAAGAAGGACTCGGACGTCGCATCGACAGGCGCAATCGTGACCTCGGCAGTCGCCGTGTCGCGCGCGGCTGTCGGTTTCGGCTTGGCACGCTGAGGACGGAAGAAGTTGCGCTGTGGCGTCAGCACAATAGAGGATGGCGGGTACTCACCACAACGTTCTTGCTACCGCCTTTCTCTGACCATGCCTCCCACTCGTCAAGTAACCTGTTAATGGCACGCAGGAAGTCGCTGAGACCCGAAATGTCAAAAATGGCCGCGAGCGAGAGACCAAGAGCATACTCCTGGCGCGCAAGAGTGTCGAGCTGCTTGGCGCCGAGTGCCGACTCGACCGTGGACCGCGCAACGTGGATGCTGTTCAGCCAGGGAACGTCTCTGTCTCGTCAGCTAGATCATCACATCTTTCTAGCTTACCCATTGTACCACTGCATCAAGTATGACCACGCAATGAGGCGATCGCGGACGAGGGCGTAGACATCCTCGACTCGACGGACGGCGCGGGGTCCGTTGGACCGCTCGCGGATGGGACCCATGCTGGACGACGACTGGGAGATGCTGCGTCCCGACGAGGGGCCGATGGATCCGAGTCCTAAGCCGACAGTGGACCCTCCTCCGACGCCAGACACCGATCCCGCTCTAGAGGACTCGGCGTATAAGGTGGATGTCTCGTGGCTGTCGTCGCTGGATGTCGTGGACGCGGCGTAGCTCCCTGGCGGATTGTAGCTTGACGGCGGGTAACCTGGTTTCCCGGGCTTGCTGAGGGCGGACAACAGTGACTGCTGTTAGTAAGACTGGAAGCTGATGGAGGATGGAGAGGATGCAAGGCCAGCGATGCCCGGTAGCGTGAGGTGAGGTGGCCAAGAGACCCAAAGCCGCGAACCCAAGGGACGCGAGCGCGGGATACGCGCAGGGAAGGAAGGGACGTGACGGGCCTGAATGGGGGGAAGGTTGGGCGTTATCTTAGTGGATGTCCGCGGCGCGCGGGCTGTTGCATTCAGTTGTGCAACGCATTGCACGTCTGTCATGCTCCGTCCATTGTCCATGTTGACAGGACGTTGTGGAAGGATTTGGTACTGAGCGTGGCTTGCGGCTTCTCTCACGGATGTGTTGGAATGTCTCGGAGGAAGAGGGATCGTTACTACTCACATTTGACTGCTGCTGCTGTCAGCGAGACTCTTTACATGCACAAGAGAACGGAAAAAGAGAAAAAAAGGATTACACACCAATGGGAGACCCACCTTACGCTTCATGTTGGCTTTTGACATTGCGCCCATGATGCGGAGGGGGGGGGAGGGTAGGAAAAGCGGAGTGGGAGGTGGTGTCGCTGCGCGAAAAGGATGCGGTTCGGGGTGCGTGGTCGACCTTGTTGTTGAGCAGTCGGTACCGATCGATGCAGAGAGCGAGCGAGCGAGCGAGTGGGACAGGAACGGAGAGAGCCAAGCTGAGCCAAGCTGGGCCAAGCAAAGAATCGATGAGCTTGTGGGTGGATAAGGATGAGTGTGAGTTGGGTTTCGCTGGGACGAATCTTCGTCCCGTTACGCGAAGCGGGACGTCTTCTCTGGTGCACGTCGCCGTTGTGCCGTTGTGCCGTTGAGCGTGCGCCGCCAGTGGGCGTAGCGTGCGCCGCTAGCGCTAGAGCCCCCGAGCGTTCCAGGTCAGGCTTCCCTATGGCGCCTATGGCCTTTGGGCCGATCGGGAAGGGGCCAAAATGGACAGCTCAGGAACCGCCCCTTTCGTTATCACGTGATATATCCCACGTGGAAACAATGAAGGCACGACTCCGTCCAGACGTCATGAGACTTCTGTAGGAGCACTCCGCATATGCCCGGCTGCCGGGGCTCGGCGTCTGTTACGTCTGTGTCTGGTGTGCCGGGGTTGCGGATCAGCCTCACCTGTCCTCCGTGAAATAGCCACAGAGACAACTCTCGACTTCCGTTCTCATCACTTACTCACGGCTTACCATGCGTCCCGCTGTCCGATACTTTGCGCGCGCCCCCCGGCTCCTCCTCGCTGGAACTGCGATTGGCGCGGGCATCGGCGCCGGCGTCTACTGTCTTGGTGAGTTGCGAGTTGGGTGGCACAGGCACAACAGACCGAGGTGTGGACGCGCCTGTCGTGTGGACTGGTGCTGAACTGAGGCTTGGCTGGGGCGGTAATGCTCGAGGCAGAGCGGTAGCTACGGTCTTTCTCGTACTCGTCGCTGGCCAAACGTTCCAGCCCTCCTTCTCTGGGGAAGAGAGTCTGTACGGAGGAAGACAGTTACGCTGACGGGTATACTTGCTGACCAACAGACGCCGAGCGCCGCGCCCAACTCCGCGAGCTCCGCGAGAGCGCCCATCTCCTCCGCACGTCGATGTTCCCCCCTCTGAGGCTGGACACGGAGCCGCCCGTCGTGATCGCCGAGTCGAAGGCGGTGAGAAGTAAGTTTCGCACTGCCAACTGTCCCCCCGTCCCCCCGTCCCATCTTCCCACCGGCCCAAGCTTCCTCCTTCATTGCGAGCTAACGACCAGTCGACCCCTCGACGCTGACGCCCCACCCGGTGGTGCTGTACCCCGCCTCGTCCCCCGAACTCACCCTGGTGGGCATGGGCGTGCGCACCGTCTCCTTCCTCAAGATGAAAGTCTACTCTGCCGGCTTTTATGTGGACGACATTTCCCTGCGCAAGCTCTCGCGCAGTCCGGACGCATCAGTCGACGAGCTCGTCGACCGTCTCCTCACCGCGCCCGCTGGTATTGCAGTGCGCATCGTGCCCGTGCGCAACACCGATTTCGGCCACCTCCGGGACGGCTTCACACGCACCCTGCTTGCGCGCCAGAAGGAGGCGCGGCGCGCAGGTCTCCTCACCCCCGCTGAAGACGAGCAGGTCTCAGAGGCTATCACAGAGTTCAAGGGCTGTTTCCCCTCCGGCTCGGTTCCCAAGGGCAAAGAGCTCCTCCTGGTCAGGTCCCCGGATGGGAGGATCTTTGTCGAGTACGAAGGCCGCGTACTGGGTGGCACGAAGGAACCTTGGGTCGGACGGAATATGATCGCGAGCTACTTCTCCAAGAACCCCATCTCGGAGAAACTCCTCGAGGACGTTGCGAAGGGCCTCGAGTGCCATGGCAACGTTAAGAACGTCGTGCTTGACCATGAGAAGAAGAGGAAGGAGGCGGGACAGTAGCATCAACAAGTCATGCAAATCATTACTCGCCACTAAACGCTGACCGCCACTTGCCATTTCTATTCTGCGCCCCGCACGCTTCGCGTGCTCCGCTTGCTACCGTGCACGCGTGCATTTGTACATGTAGGGAACAGAATTATAACGAGTATTCCTATCTGTGCGTCGTCTATGGCCGCCACTTGCTCCTCATCCTCCTCTACCCTCGGCTTCGCCTCGGTGGGCTAATCACATAATGGAGCACTCGCTCTCGGCGTCCTTGCGCGTCGGACGCGCGCCCTTGCGGTTGACGTTCTGCGAGAGCTCGGCGAGTCGCTGCATCGCGCGCTTGTTGCCTTGGCCTGGGGGTCAGCTATTTTCCGTCAAGCATGTAGCTCTACTCACTCGCAGCACGCTGGTACCACCGCTTCGCGAGCTCGATGTCCTGCTTGACTCCGATGCCCATTTCAGTGTAGTCTGCATGTCAGCTTGTACGAGGACAGTCGAGCATGCGTTTACTCACATCCCACGGCGTACTCGGCCTTGGCGAGGTTCTTGTTCGCGGCCTTGCGGCCCCAGAGATACGCCTCCGTGTCGCTCTGCTTGAGCACGCCCTCGCTGCCGGTCAGGTACCAGCCGGACAGCGCGAGCTCGGCCTCCGAGTCGCCCTTCTCCGCCGCGCGCGTGTACCACGCAATGCTCCGACGCGGGTCTATCGGGAAGCCGAGGTTGCCAAACTCGTGGCACGAGCCCATCTTGAACTGCGCGGGGGCGTAGCCGAGCTGTGCTGCCTGGGTCAGGTACTCGCGGGCAAGGTTGGGGTCGAAGGGAATCACGCCGTTGGTGCCATTGTTGGGTCGCTCGTGGAGGAGCGCGAGCTCGTGGAGCGCGTGCGGGTTGTCCTCGTCCGCCTGCGCGGCCGCGCGCCGCAGCCACACATGTGCCTCGCGCGGGTTGCGCGGGTGGCCCATGATCCCGTTCAGCAAGATCAGGGCTAACTTGTACATTGCCGCCGTGTCGCCAAGCGCCGCCGCCTTCCTGTAGAAGAGCATTGCGCGCTGGGGGTCCCGCTTCGTGCCGGCGCCGAGCTCACAGCACACCGCCGCACGATACGTCGCTGCCGGGTGGTTCAGCTTTGACGCCATCAGGTACAGATAATACGCCTTCTCGTGGTCCACCTGCAGACCCAGGTGTCCCGTTCCGTACAGGTTCGCGAGGAAGAACTGCGCGTCCGCGTACGGCTCCTTGCCCTCTGCAAGCTTCTTGATGTTGCGCAGACTCTCGGCTAGCAGCGAGTCCCGATACTTGCGTCCAGCACGAGCATCGCGCGCTCCCATCTCGTCGCCGATTTTCTTGGCTGCTTCTATCAGGTACTTGGCGAAAGCGAACTGAGCCTCAGGATCCGGGTCCACCTTCATACGATTTCGGTAGTCGTCAACAAACTCGCGCGTGTACGGAGGCTTGCTGACGTCGATACCGCCCCGGCGGCGGGTGGACGACGCCCCGACACTCTCGCTGATCGGTGCGATCGACGGCATCGAGCTGACGGAAGACAGCGAAACCGTCGATCGTGTCGTGTTCGTGCGGGCCAGATTCGTCATGCTCGCTTGTCGCGGAGGAGGCTGGTGGACAGCGCCTGGCGGAGCACCCTGCGGCATGCCCGGCTGGCTCGGGTAGACGGGGTTTTGCTGCGGCGGAGGCGGCATCCCCAGGAAGTCGTTGGCAGCCGAGTAGTAGGGATTGTCCGCGGGAGGGGGCCTGGCTGGCGTCATTGGCGTGAATCCCGAAAGTCCCATCCTCGACGATCCAGAGCTCATGCTCCCGTAAGGGTTTCGTTGCGGAGCCGAGTATGAGCTCATTCCAGAGTCGAGCGAGTACACGCTCGCCGCAGCATTCGAGTTGTACGAGGAACCAGTCGTGGATCGTGCTCGCGGAGGCAGAGGTGACGGACCGCCGTATGGTGAAGGGAAGGCGGCCGGAGGGGCCGTGTTCTGGCGCTGGACCCCGGGGACCGGTGACGCATTCGTCAGGCGGAGGTTGTTAAACTCTGCGTCGAGATCCTGGCTCGCGTCCGAGGTGGGGCGCCTGGATCCGCCTTGCATGTTTTCCCCCGAGCCAGACATTCTGCTCATGGTGCGCGGAGGCACCTCGTCGTACGCGAGCTGAGACGGATAGTCGACGGGGGCGTAGGGGGGCTGCTCGTTCAGTTGGTGGCCGTGCTGGCCGTGACTGGGGTCAAAGCTGGGCATCGAGTTGAGGGCTCCATCAGAAATGGCCGCGTCATACGACGGGGGGCCGGTGGAGAAGTCGAGTTCCGGCAGGTTGAGCGGTTCGGCTGGGGGTCGGCGTCAGCAAAGAAGAGAGGGATGAGGTGAGGTGAGGGAAGCGTGTTGTTGCTCGAGTGTGTGTGTGTGTATGTGTCGAGAGTGAAGAGTGAGTTGTTGAGACGAGTGCCAAGCCGTTGCCTAGGAACGGATGGAACGGATACGTACCAAAGTCGCCTTGGACGGAGTGCATGGATGGAGCTTGCTGTGAGTGGTGGTGGGACGTCGGTCGGTATCCGCCTGGCGGGGCATCGGCCAAGTAAGAATCGCTAGTTCTCCTGTGAGGCTGTGGATCGAGGGACATAATGACACTAAAAGCCGTCCTAACGAGAATGCGCGGTCAGGTCGGGTTCAACTTTCAGGATCGACTGCTGCAAGGTGACGGCGCAGGAGGTTTGGGCGTACGGGCGTGCGGGGATCGAAGGAGAAAGAACCACGGAACAAAGGCTGCGGTGTGGTGCAGGTGCAGGTGCAGCAAGCAGGCAGGCAGGCAGGCAGGCAGGCAGGCAGGCAGGCAGGCTTGAGACGCGAGACGGGGCGGAACAGAGGTCAGATGGTCCTGTCGGGTCGAAGCCAAAGGGAAAGTGATTAAGGCGAGGGAGTGGGCAAACGTAACGAGGGGAAAGAGTGTCGTATGTCGGAATCGGAATCGTTGCTCGTTGCGGGTGCGTGCAAGTCGGGAGAGTGATGCAGATGAGAGTGAATGCTGGAAGAAGGTGTTGTATGCAATTGGGGGGGGGTATGGGATGCAAGATGGAAATGGACGGGAAGCAATGTGGGTGTGGATGTTCTTTTCTTTGGGCGGACCTGCACGTTCGTGTGGTCGAGCAGTTGAGTTTGCTGGGTTGAGCGCCCGCGGCGAGAGTGTGGGACAGACTAGTCGAGCTGTGACGGAGAGAGATGAGGATCAGGATGGGATTGGAAGTCCCCGGTTCAGGCTTTGACAAGTCCTGGTTGCGTGGTGCGGAGCCAGGTGCAACCACCTGCGCTGCAGCTCTGCAGCTCGTCCTCTGCGAGGTCCGTCGCGATCCGTCGAGGAATCAGAGGAAGATCCCCAGGCGGCCAGGCGACAGGGGAAGACCAAGGCGAGGCACAGGGGGAACAAGGGAACATCAGAGACAGGGCCACCCAGTTCCTTTCGCGCGGGCAGACGACGACGACAGTTTGCACTGCCATAACGCATCATGCACACAAACACATCGCAGGGACACACCTGAGCAGACTGCCGAAATGCGTGACTGCATCATGCATCGAGGCGTCTTCGCGATAGACTGCGCACTGCGCACTACCCTTGTATCTTGCCGATACGATTCTGTGAGGCGTCGAACTAGGGACCCCCCTTCCACATCGGCAGACGCCCCAGTGTGCACTCAGCCCAACGCACCAGAGGCAAGGGGGTCATAGTGTCAGGGTCCGACCCACCACTGCAACGACGCACCATAGGACGCGTCACGTGATCAACCTGCAGCTCCTAAGACACCGCTGGGTACGCCCGACCACGTGGTGGGAAAGTGTCTTCCTCCGTCGTCGACCTCCGCCTAATACCTCCGCTCGAAGATCCCGGTTGAGTCGATAACGACACTGACTGGCCCAGATTGTCCACTCACCTGGAATTTCCATCCCCGCTAGTGTCTTCCTCGTCTTCCTCAATTCTCTCTAACACCTAATCGGCAAACCTCATGGCCGGCATTGTGAGTTTCAGTGGAGGTAAGGAACTGACATCCAGACTCTCAAGCCCTCCCTCGAGGAGGTGACCAACCTCGTCCGAAACGGAACCTCGGCGCCGACGACGCTTGCGCCGAAGGGAGCCGGTGGCTTCCCGTCCAACTTTGGCATTGCGTCTTCCTCGGCCGAGGTGCCGGTGCAGAAGCCGAACCTCGTTCCGGTCTACATCGACATCCCGGGAGAGCTGCTGACGCCCGTCGCTGCGTACCTCAAGGTCGCGAACGGGTCAAAGGAGTCCTTCCTCCTCGAGTCCATCACGGGTGGCGAGAACCTGGCGCGGTATTCTTTCGTCGGCGCGAACCCCATCAAGAGCGTGCGAACAGGACCTGGATTCGACGCCGAGGGCGACCCGCTCAACATTCTCGAGTCTGTCCTCGAGCCGTACCGCTATGGAAGGATCGAGGAGGTGCCCACATTTACGGGAGGAGCCGTCGGCTTCATCACGTACGATGCTATCCAGCACTTTGAGCCCGTCACGAAGCCGGCGACGCCGCACCGCGACCCCCTCCCCGGTCTTCCCGAGGCATTCTTCATGATCGCCGAGACGATCGTCATCTTCGACCACATCTTCCAGTCCATCAAGATTGTGTCCCACGTCTACCTCCCCGATGGCACGCCCGAGTCGGAGCTTCCGCGGCTGTACGAGGAGGCTCGCGAGCGCATCGCCGAGGTCAAGGCGCGCCTCGAGTCGCCCGAGGTCCCGCTCCCGCCGCAGGGCCCGATCGAGCTCGGCAACGAGCCCGTCAGCAACGTCGGCAAGTCGGGATACGAGGCGTTCGTGACCAAGCTCAAGGAGCACATTGTCAAGGGTGACATTATCCAGGCTGTCCCGAGCCAGAGGCAGAAGCGCAAGACGGCGCTCCACCCATTCAACGTGTACAGGCATCTACGACGCGTGAACCCGTCGCCGTACATGTTCTACGTCGACAGTGGGGATGTCCAGCTCGTCGGTGCGTCGCCCGAGACGCTGTGCAAGGTCGAGAACCGCAAGGTGTACAACCACGCGATTGCTGGAACCGTGAAGCGCGGCAAGACCCCGGCCGGTAAGTCAACTGAATCGCATCGTAAACTGACAATACAGAGGACGCCAAGCTCGGCGCCGAGCTCCTCGCGTCGGAGAAGGACCGGGCTGAGCACATCATGCTGGTCGACCTGGCGCGCAACGACGTGAACCGCGTCTGCGCCCCAGAGACGGTCCAGGTGGACGACCTGATGCGCCTCGAAAAGTTCTCGCACGTGATCCACATCACGTCGCAGATCTCGGGCCAGCTGCGTCCCGACCAGTCGCGCTTTGACGCCTTCCGCTCCATCTTCCCCGCGGGCACGGTCTCGGGCGCGCCAAAGGTGAAGGCGATCCAGCTCGTTGGCGGGCTCGAGCAGGAGAAGCGCGGCGTATACGCCGGTGCCGTGGGACGGTTCGACTTTGACCGCGACAACCTCGACACGTGCATTGCCATTCGCACCATGACGTTTATGGGCGGAAACGTCTATCTCCAGGCTGGTGGCGGTATCGTCTTTGACTCGGTTGAGGAGGACGAGGTGAGCTTGATCGACCGATGAGAGCTGACAAGCAGTGGATCGAGACGGAGAACAAGCTCAAGTCGAACGTGTCCACGATCGCGGCGGCCGAGAGTGAGTCGAAAGCTGGCTAATTGGTGGTGGCAGAGCTGACAGAAACAGAGTACTACTACGACCTGCAGCAGGCGGCGAAGCAGTAGACAGAGTTAATGTATGACAAAAAAAAATGCATCTAGAACACCTATACCTATTAGCCTAAAACGCCTGCTGCGGCAGTCCCCACCGCCTAAGCTGTTCGCACGCCGAGTTCGTCTCTGCTCTCAGTTTGCGAATCTTGTCATAATCCGCGCCGAGCCCAAAGACGCCCGCCTCGGCGCGGATCTTGCGGTTTTTGAGCGCGTTAAAGTTCTGGCACTCAGCCTGCAAGCGCCGGATATGGTTCTCCTCGACGCCGCGCTCGAACGCGCGCATCTTGCTACTGAAGAGGCCGCTGTTCTTCTCCCCGCGCTTATGTTCGGGGACGGAGTTGTAGATGTCCGATGCCTCGAATTCGGCCCGGTTGACGTGATACGGCACGGAGCGCTGCCAGGTATGGCGGGGCGTGTCGAACTGCGAGCTGGGGCTGAAGGAGTAGCTGGGGTCGGGCTGGTAGGGTCCTGCGAACAAAGACGGGATGACCGAGAAGAGAATGAAGAGGATCAAAAGACCAATAGGCAGCAGCGCGAGGAGGGGGGACTGCTCTTCCCCATGCTGGGCGCGCGCGTACGCGTTTCCAGGCCGGCGGCGATGATATGTCGGCCCGCCCCCGCCAAAGGTGTACACCCGCGCGCCACCGAAGGGGGATCCACCCATCCCGCCCCCCATGCCCCCGCCGAAGAACATGTTGAACAGGTCGTCCGGGTCGATACCGCCGTCCTGGAACGCAAACTGGGCTCCCTGCGGGAAGCCCCGCGCCATGCCTCCCATCCCTCCTCCGCCGCCGCCGCCGCCGCCGCGCTGTGTCGGGTCGATGGACGGATTCGTGTCGTACACCGCGCGCAGGTTCTTGTCGCTCAGCACTTGGAAGGCCTTGGAGACCACTGCGGGTTAGCTGCGGGCTGAGACCGGTAGCTGGTTTGCGGAGGAGGAAAGCTAAGCCTCGCTACGCGCGGCTACGCTTCGCTCGACTCACTCTTGAACGCCTCGTCGGCCCCGGGGGCGCCGTTCTTGTCCGGGTGCAGCTGCAGCGCGAGCTTCTTGTACGCGCGCTTCACGTCGTTCTCCGAGCACGTCTTCTCCACTGTTGTGTCAGCTGATCAAGCCATCGAAGTAGCTTCCTGCCTCCCGCATTAGTCTGGGTGAGACCGCCGGCGGCGACCTCTTGGACAACTCACCAGCTAGAATCGAGTAGTACGCCGTGTGTCCGCACCGCTTGACGCGCGTGACGACCTCCATCTGCTTGGCAGTGTACTGTCTCTTTTCCTCCTTCTTCTCCTCCTTCTTCTCCGTATGTCTGTGCCGGGCGCTTGTGACGTGCTCCTCGACGCCTGACGCCTTGGCCGTACTTCCTCCCGCATTCGGGCTCGCGGAGCTCTTCTCGCTCTCAGGCGGGCCGTTAGAGGACGAGTACGACGACATCTCTTCCTCGATGATCTGCACCATCTTCTCGCCCTCGGGCGTGCTGTACATCGTGACCGACTTGCGGGCGAACTTCAGCGCCGAAGTGTAGTTTTGCGAGTTGCGGTGCCGCTGCGCGATGCCGAGGCAGCGCAGCGCCTCCTCCTTGTTCACCTCCATGCTTGCTCTTTGGTCGGAAGGGGGGAAAACGAGCGTAGAGAGGGTGGGACGGGGTTGGGTCGCCGTGTGGGCTGGTTGTTTTCGTGCGTGGAGGGTGATGGAAGGATTGGGCGTTAGGGAACGGCGAACGCGGCGAATGCGGCGACGGTGGTTGCAGTGACTCAAGTCAAAGACGAGGAAGAGTGATTAGGTGGGAAGAAGAAAGACGGGTGAGACAAGGGCGAAAGTCGTGTGATGCGTTGCAAACCAGGAAGTAAGGTTTCGTCGACGATCGGGCTCGATCACTCGCTTATCGGTGCGTGCGCGGCGACACGTCGGCGTCGGCGTGTCGGGGCCCGGTGCTATTCGTGGAACGATGCGAGGGAGGTGGTTTTGCACTGGAAGGTCGGAGTCGGTGGAGTCGTGAAGTTGACAGAGTTGACAAGAGAAACAGACGGACGGAGCGACGACGTATCGAAGTGTCGGTGTGGTCGGTCGGCGAGTGACGTTTGTCAGAGACTGTCCTGCTTCCTAACTGCGCTTAACGTCGCCATCGACCGAGCTTCGACAACAGTCACTGCACGCGCTCAGCAACGGACGGGATTTTTCCGGCACGTGGCACCACCGAGCTCACGAGTGCCGGCTGTGTCGTCTCGGTGTGGGACCGGTCACGTGAATGCCGTCCGCGATGTTGTGCACCATCTACTGGTGCTGATGCATGTCGCTCTCGCTAACAGCTGTATACTGACACGACAGGATAGCAGCTAGGACGGGGTCTCAGAGTACACAAAATACATTCGCACTGGGCATTATGCAGATCCCAGAGGAAACTGCTGACTAATAAAACTGATATTCCAGATGAGGATCCTCATTACACTCTCGTTCTTCCCTCGGGAGCCATCGACCATTCTGAGCTAAGCCTTCGGTCTGACAGCCGCAGACCTACGCCGACTCGGCCGACATGACCGTAGCCGTCGTGGCGCCCTTCTCGTTGATGCGCTCGACGTGCTGCGCCTCAGCCTTCTCATGCAGCTCGACCTCGAAGGGGTCGACCTTTGTCGAGGCAAACTTGCGCGCCGAGACGCCGCGCTCGAACAAGATGTCGATCTCAGCAAACGAGCGTCCGGCGGGCTCGGGGATGCGGAAGTAGCAGTAGATGATGCAGAGGAAGCAGGAGCCGCCCCAGAAGAAACCGGCGAAATTTCCCCAGTCCCACTTGTCCGTGTTGAGCATGTAGGGCGTGAGGACGCTGCACACGATGCCGACGACAATGTAGAGGTTGCGGCCGAGCACGACCGTCTTGATCTGCAGGCGGCGGGTGGAGAGCTCGGCGACGAGCGAGTACGCCACCGTGCCTACTGTGAGCTGGTAGAAGGCCGCCCAGATGATCATCATGGATCCCGTCGCCATCGCTCCCTGGTTCCTGTGCGCCTCGGGGACGAGGCCGAGGAAGCCCATGACGAACAGTGTGACGCACAGACCGCACAGGCCGTACAGGAACAGGTTGCGGCGCCCGATGCCCCAAGCCATGAGGGCCCACGCGCCGAAAACGCCCACACAGTTGATGGCGTACTGGCCCATGGCAAAGTCGTACGCCTTGTCGCCGGGCACGCCAGCCTTGGTGAGGAAGTACGACGAGTAGCCCGAGAACGAGTTTCCGGCCAGGTTCTGGATCGCCCACACCATGCACACGATCTCGGTGCGGCGGCGGTCGACACCCTTGAAGCAGTCGAGGTAGGACGCACCCGAGGTGATCTCGCGCTCGAGCTCGGTCGTGTGGCGCATCATGTCGATCGTCTCGTCGGCGTCAAAGTCGGTCTCGCGGTTCAGGCTGGTCAGGCGGAGGAGGTTCTTCTTCGCCTCGGCGTAACGGCCGCGGCGGACGAGCCACCAGGGAGACTCGGGGGCAAGAGCGACACCAATCAGGAGAGGGACGGGCCACATCCACTGCAGAGCGTAGGGGAGCTTCCAGGCGAGGTTGTCGTCGGGGCCGCGGTAGAGCTGAGACTTGATGACACCGATACCGATGACCTGGCCGAGACCCCAGCAGAAGTTGACGTAGCAGGTGAGGTATCCGCGGAGCGCGACAGGGCAGACCTCGGATGCGTACGTGATGCACAGCGTCTGGAAGATACCCCAGGGGATACCGCACAGCACCTCGGCGACCTGGAGCTGCGGGAGCGAGGTCGCGGTCCAGAACATGGCAATGAGCGCCGTGAGCGCAGCCAGCGACGCCATGACCGTGTAGCGGTAGCCGAAACGCTCAGAGACGAATCCGTTGATGAAGAGACCAATGATCTCACCGCAGTTGGCACCGTTCGACAGACCCGCCTGCCATGGCGCAGGCACCTCGTACTCGCCCTTGCGGTTCAGGACACCGAACGTCTTGTTGAATGCGGGGAAAGCGTAGAAGTTCGACAGGAGACACACGTCGTAGCCTGACAGTCAGCATCGGTATGCATGTGCGGGATGGCGGAGAGGAGGGTGGCCGCGTACAGCCGCCACCAGCCGACACAGCCGGGTCAGGTGGCTCGCGGCATGCAAAGCGTGCCGTGCCAAGCTTTGGCACAGACAAGGGCCCGCATGGAGCCAAGAGCGTATTTCCGGACCATCGCCAAGCTGCGATCCGTCCAACCTCTGTGCCCACTTGCAAAAGCTCAACTGACGGTGCCAGTCGAGTCGGGGTACGTAGTACAGCCCACAGACTGTCGGGCGTTTCCCCGGACCCCGTGATAGCACGTCTGTGCGGGCACCACCTTGTTCACCCCACCTATCCCCCCCCTCGGAGCTCAGAACTCACCCTCCATTACGATACACGTCGAGATGAGCATACTCCAGGCGACGGCCTTGGGGTATAGCTTGATGCCCTGCAAAAGACTCATCTGGTGCTCCTTCTCCGTCGCAATCTTGGCGTTGCGGGTCATCTCGTCGCTGGGGCCGAGCGAGGGCGACTTGGTCGAGAACGCCTGGCCCTCCTCATTCGGCGCGTGCGTGCCGGGCAGCTCGGCGGGGACACCGGCCTGCGCGACCTCCTCGGAGCGCACGCCGTCGAGCTCGCGCAGTGCCGCCTTGTCGTTCCCGTTGAGAGCGGGGGCGGTCATGTCGCTGAGTCTGGATCGGTGGGTATTATACAACTAGTAGTGGTAGAGTGA